CTCCCAGAATTCCCCAGCTAGCCATGAATGCTGGCTGGGGAATTCTAGGAGTTGAAGTCCACCCATCTTAAAGTGGCCAAGGTTGAGAAACACTCGTCCAAAAATGCTTGTGGGTGGCTGGGATTCTGGAGATTGAACATAAAAGAACTAGATTCAGAATTATTTAATATGAGCAGGAAGGCCAGTCTGGGGATGATCGGGAAGGTGAAGAAGTGATCCAAGGGTGTCTGCAGCAATGCTCACTGGCTTCCAAACCGTGAGCATGACCAGACAAACGGAGCCCACCCCCTTTTTAATGGGTGTTGTGTGCATGTAAAAAGGAGCCAGGCTTTGCTCACCTGCTTGGGTGCACAACTCTGAAGCCAGTGACTGTTGCGGTTGGATACCCCTGCCAACCTTTTAGCACACCTTTGCACAATTTGCAAACCATTGTTTGAAGCTCAACCCAGCTATTTCGGAATTATTCAGATGTTCTTTTTTGCCAGGGCACACCCGGAATGAGTGCCCACGTTGTGCCAGTGCAGGTGTCCAAACTGAGCCCTGCAGTTAATGTCTCCCAGCCTCATATAGTCCTGTAACAGGTTGAATGTTTCTGCAGGCATATTGTTGCCCTGGGTGGCAATAAAATAAAATAAGATAAAATACAATCGTGAGCCAGATGCTTATAAGGAATCTAGAGCTGAAGAAGGAAATGGAGAACATCCGTGTGTCATTTCTTAAAATAAACACCCCGAAATAAATGCTCTCTTTATACAATAATAATAATGCATTGTGGGCATTAAACAGAATTCTTTATAAAAAGAACGAACGCCAGCGTAAGAGGACGAGCGGAGAAGACACAGGCCTCCAGAGGTCGCTAGACCTTTCACTGGCTCCGCTTGGGCTGCTGGGAGTTGTAGTTCAGGAGCCTTGGGAGGTGGCTGGGGCTGGCTCCCTGAACTTATAACCCATCGACCGCTGGCGATTGCAAGAGACTGAAGCTGTTTTTAAACTCCTGAGGACACGTGTCCCCCCCCCCCCCACCTCCTTCCTACCCGCCTGCAACTGGCTGCAAAAAGCACCGAACAGCAGAATGCCAGTTTCTCTGGCTTGGAAGCTGGGTGCAACTTGATCCGCTTCTGACGGCCGGGGAAGGCGGCCCAGCAGAGAAGGAGGGTCTGTGTTACCAGATGGCTGGCCTGGCCTGGCGGCATCTCCTGATCTCAGAGCCAGGGGATCAGTAATCCAAGAGGGGCCAGGCCAGGCTTGGAAGGGGGTGGGGGCGGGGGCAGGCCGGGTGGCATCAGCCAAGCAAGTGATTTCCTGCATAAGAGAAGAGTGGAAGCGAGACGGGCAGCGGCACATCTTCCTGCCTCCTCCGTCTGAAGGAGAGCGAAAGGGTTGAACTCGACAGGCTCCTCACCGCTGTACCTGTGGGTTTGGCTGGGTCTGGGCGGTGAGTGGCTGCGGTTCCACTCTTCCCACCTGCCAGAAAGCATTATGGCAAGGGGGGCAGATCTGCCTGGCTCCCTCCATCAGCCAAGAAAGGAGCTCCCAGAAAGGGGCTTTGGTTCAAAAGAAAACCAGATTGCGTAGTTCACAACCAATGGCCTGTGTGTGCTGTTGGTTCTTATTTTTCTTCTTCCCTCCAAGCTCTTTTTCCTTTGGTGTTGTGTCTCTTTGACTGTATGTCAGGGGGCAGAGGGGATTGTTGTGGGGGAATTGAAAGTTGCTCCCTTTTTGAGGCTAGAGCACCCACCTTATGGCAGTCGACTAGTCCAGTGTTTCTCAACCTGAGCAACTTTAAGGTGGGTGGACTTCAACTCCCAGAATTCCCCAGCCAAGCAGCAAGGGCTGCTTGGATGGATTGTCCACTGCAGGGTTATTAGATGTCTGGGGGTCACTGATGGAAATGCACGGGCATGGAGGCTGTGCTGTAAGCGGGTCAGTCCAGGGTGAGGGGAAGCAAACGTCGGTCTAATTCTATCAAGTTGCACCCTGGCCTCTTCCTCCTGCTCCTCCACGAGAAAGGCTCCATCCAAGGAGGACGTGGGGTAGGCCACGCGCCCCTTCCAGCCCTTCCTGGTGGGTTCAAGATGAATACCCGTCCAGCTGCCATTTGCCCAGGGATGGAGGGGAGCCCACCTGGTTCTCCAGCTGAGAAGGTCTTGGTCCAGCCCAGGCCAGGGGCCGTCTCCGGCATCTCCAGGGAGGGCAGCAACCATCCCACCAATCAGCCCAGTCGGCCCAGAGATGCTCTCCGGCGGGACTGGACCTCAATCCCCATAATCCCCAGCCAGCATGGCCACTGGACTGCTGTTCCAGTACGTTTGGATTGGGGGACTGGGAGTTGATATTTGACCTAGGTGGACCAAGAGTTCAAGGTCCAGCCACTCCCAATGTTCCCAAGGTCTTAGCAGGCGGGAATTCAACAGGTGGAGTTCCCAGCCCTCATTGCAGCACTCTCTTGCAGAAGAACGTGGCAGCTGTTCCTGGCGCCTCCCTTCCATGCGGGAAGAGGAAATCCGTTCTCAGAAGTCCCTCCAGGTAGAAAATCCGGATCTATCCTGGGGAAGGTGTGGCCTGAAACGAGTGGGCGTGGCCAAGGGAGGGTGCAGTTCAGTTCAATTGTAATCCGAGCTGTCTCTCTGAAAGAGGCGGGGCCACCGGGACCTGCCTGGTGGCCATTGGGACCACGCCTCTATTTCTAGATCGATCTATCTGTGGCGGGGAGGGGGAGGGCTATACCGTTTTAAAAAACGTGAGAGGCTTCTCTTCTTTCTGAAACCCACCAAGTCACAAAACGCTGTCTCCTGAACTATCCGGCTCTTCCACTCACGCCCCTCCATTTCGTTCCTCTCTCCGTCCCCCTTTTTCCCTCCTCCACATGGACCGCTCCAATTTTGACGCATTGCAGGTGAGAGGCGACCAATGGCTACGGGAGTCTCATCCTGCGCCTCCTTCCGGAGCCAATGGAAACACGCGAAACAATCACGATCGCTCCATTCTGTGTCCTTCCGCCAGCAGACGGCTGGAGGGAGGGGCGGGACGGGAAAGAAGCGCGAGGAGCGAGCGAGGGGAGGAAAGTAGTCCTCTCTTCCCTCTCTCCGCGAGGAGGAGGAAGTGGGCGGAGCCGCCGCCAGGGGCAAGAGCGGATTGGGCGAGGCGGCAAAAGAGGGCGTGGTTCCCGCTCCTTCGAGGGAGGAGGCCCAGCGGGGCGAGGCCGGAGGCGGCCGTTGGCGGAGGGATCCGGTGCGCGCCTTGAGGCTCCGTGAAGCGGCCTGCAGTGCGTCCCGGCTGGTGCGGCTCCTACCTCCCTTCACGACGCCGTCGCTGCTCCTCGAAGCCTCTTGACGCGACCGCCTTTCTCGCCGAGCCGGACCCGACTATGGTGAGGGGAGAGCGCGGCGCCTTCGGGGCGGCTTTCACTTCCGGCACCCTCCAGGGGGTCGGACTACAACGCCCATCCTTCCTGGCGGCGGCCGGAACGGATGGGTGTTGT